ATTCCAGACCAGCAAGCGTTTCCTCCAACTCTGCTAGTTTTCGGCCTTCTCACAATCTCGCTACCAAATGAAATGTCATTGTAGAGGACATACTGGAAGACCACTGCAACTCGTTTGCACCGAAAATAGGCTGTCGCGGCAGACGAGTGAATCATACTGTAGATACACCGAGATGGTCTACAGTTATAGATCACATAATGATACGAACGGGAGGAAGTCACTATTATCGATAAACACTCGTTCTTATTGTTCATCTCAGGATTCTTGGTAGTAATCCAGAATGCTTCCAAAGCTTTTCTAGCCGAGATCTCTGTTTCATACGCAAGAATTTCACACTTGACGTTGAAGTCTTCTCCACCGTGCTGCGCGTCTCTATGCCTGCCGAGCGCCGAGCCCAAATTTCTGCGCCTTTTATCGGCCAAGTGTTCTTTCATGCGAATACCCACAACTCTACCCGTCTCTCCTATGTATATTGCTTTGCAGTCAAGGCATTCAATTTGATAAACGACTCCCATGCACAGTCCCCAACTCTACCCGGCGGGCATACTATGCATTGCTCTGTTGTACAGTATCGGTCGTAGAGCCTATTTCGGACTAGCTGCTTTTTGATATTGTCATTGGGGATGTTAACTAAAACAACATCATCTTGCAGCTGGGCTCGAAAAATGCATTGCTGAAACGCCGCGGTAATCTTATCTGAGATGAAGGGAAGGCAAAGTGGGAGCTTGTTGGTACTATGAATGCTGGCACCATTCCTAGATTGTCGAGGACGAGGTAATTCATGGTAACCATTACTGCAAGCAATTCTAGAAGCCAAATTTCGCGATTCGCAACGTTCTTTCTCCCCAGAGCACATCTGCATAGCGGTCTTGTACATATTGGTGATAACTGCGCGTTTTACCGATGCAGGATGTGCGGACTTGACATTTTTTTGCGGCCAAAGCTTTAGTGTATGTCAAGTCCGCACATCCTGCATCGGTAAAACGCGCAGTTATCACCAATATGTACAAGACCGCTATGCAGATGTGCTCTGGGGAGAAAGAACGTTGCGAATCGCGAAATTTGGCTTCTAGAATTGCTTGCAGTAGTGGTTACCATGACTTACCTCGTCCTCGACAATCTAGGAATGGTGCCAGCATTCATAGTACCAACAAGCTCCCACTTTGCCTTCCCTTCATTTCAGATAAGATTACCGCGGCGTTTCAGCAATGCATTTTTCGAGCCCAGCTGCAAGATGATGTTGTTTTAGTTAACATCCCCAATGACAATATCAAAAAGCAGCTAGTCCGAAATAGGCTCTACGACCGATACTGTACAGCAGAGCAATGCATAGTATGCCCGCACGGTAGAGTTGGGGACTGTGCAAAAGTGGGAGTCGTTTATCAAATTGAATGCCTTGACTGCAAAGCAATATACATAGGAGAGACGGGTAGAGTTGTGGGTATTCGCATGAAAGAACACTTGGCCGATAAAAGGCGCAGAAATTTGGGCTCGACGCTCGGCAGGCATAGAGACGCGCAGCACGATGGAGAAGACTTCAACGTCAAGTGAGAAATTCTTGCGTATGAAACAGAGATCTCGGCTAGAAAAGCTTTGGAAGCATTCTGGATTACTACCAAGAATCCTGAGATGAACAATAAGAACGAGTGTTTATCGATAATAGTGACTTCCTCCCGTTCGTATCATTATGTGATCTATAACTGTAGACCATCTCGGTGTATCTACAGTATGATTCACTCGTCTGCCGCGACAGCCTATTTTCGGTGCAGACGAGTTGCAGTGGTCTTCCAGTATGTCCTCTACAATAACATTTCATTTGGTAGCGAGATTGTGAGAAGGCCGAAAACTAGCAGAGTTGGAGGAAACGCTTGGTGGTCTGGAATTACGGATAACACTTAGAACCATTCAGGCCTCTGAGGAAGACGAAAGGCGTCGAAACGTAAGGCCGTGATTGGAAGAAATAAAGACCACTTCTCAAACCTGTACGGCACAAAAGAAATTTGAACTTACGACACATGCCCAGGTTTCATGAAAACGGGACTTGGAAGCTACTTGAATAAAGTTTTGAACCAAGAAAATGTTGTGTTCAATCATTTTAAATCAGTAGCTGCTTTATGATGATGGCACGGTTTTTCTCTTTCGTTTGAGCCCAATTTCACCTTCGTGCGATCACTTTGAAGGTTTTTGGCTTAGAGCCAGCCCTGAAATTCAATTGAGATTTTCAGCATTCCTTGGCTAGGTTCCAAGCAGGCTCTCAAGGGGGCGGGGCTTAGATTGTTGCTATGTCCTAGTGAGTAATCGGAGCCAGCGAGCATGACTGTAACCTGCAGGCACTCCCCGAATCGAGCTAATTAGGCTCGGGTTCCTAAGTTCCGTCCCCCATTAGGCTCGGGTTCCTAAGTTCCCACACCCTCAAGCAAGGGGTGTGGCACACGATCGCTGGTTACGACCCCCCCCCTGAACTATATACCTAAGATAGCATTACCAGAGTTGAAAAAGAGGTCATGCACAAGTCTTTCGAACCCCCCACCCCCTCCCATGAAAGCCCTCAAACGAGCCCTTCTTCCTCCTTTTAACCTCTGGACCTCAAAGTGTGACATTTTGGAGGACACCATCTTTTTCTAAAAAGTTTTCAGATTTCCGAGAGCTGTACGCCCGATCTTCTGTGACTGCACTTTAGAATCACTCGTAATTTGACGGCTAATTTTGATCTGAATAGGCATATTGCAAGGGCCATAATTTTCTTATGGGTGGGGCGTTCGGCTCCAAATTTTCAATGTAGCAAGAAGAAGCTATGTGCTCAATACTCATACCAGCAATGGAGCGCTTTCTGGATTTTGAAGGCAAGTTAAGGGGTTGTGCTGCACCCCATTAACTATATCAAAAAAAAAAACATTTTTAGCGGGCAGTATTTATATGAATCGATAGCCTAAACCTTGTAGATTCCATAGGACTGTTTGGAGCCTGATTTGTCTTCTTAGCTCTAAGTAATATTTGGTGAAAGCACAGCGATCAAAAGCGAAAAATAGGAAAAACGAGATTTTGGTTGGCTTCTAATTCCACAGTTTGCAGGTCTTCTGAAGCGGGATTCCTGAGGTGGACAAAGAAGGAGTAGTGCTTTGTCTTGAGTGCAAAAACGGATAGCTAATTCACCTTTGAAACAAAGTTAACCATGTTGACCATTTCATTTAGGTAGCCTAGTATCTTGAATCTTCAGAATTCGCTCACACTTTGTCTACAGGGGGTTAATTGACATGCTAATTATGGATATGATACGAATATCATGTTATACTATTATCAGATTACCCAACTACGACCCCCCTCCCCTTTTGACTCCTCAATACGACCCCCAGGTGTGGCGTGCCGCACCCCACGCTTGACCCTGGTAATGATTATAGATAAACAAAAGTCTGTATCGCGAAGCCGAAAAGCCGCACATTGCAACTGCCCTCAATGTGTTAGAGAAGATTATTTCCGAGAAAAGCCTGCGGGCTGTTTAAAGTTGGATTTCAAAAAACGTGCATCAATTATGAATCAACCTAATACAATGTACTGAACGTATATATCGGACTTACGTGAAATTCTAAAATGTTAAGATATGACACTTTTCGCCTCCTATAGACATGAGGTGAACGGCATTAGGCAAAAAATTTTAGGCGTGATTTGTAAATTCAACAACTCAACCTTTTTTAGTCATATACCAAATTGTTGCGGTGCTTCATGAAGAAGTACTGTTTGACTGACACTGCCAAAGCCGCATTTGAAGTTGGCGCAGATATGAAACGTTGTGTCAAAAAGGTTCAAACAACTATCAGGTTGTCCCAAAGTCCTGTCTGATCGAAGTTTCAATGGCACACACTTCTCATTGCAATATAGGTCCTGAAGAACCAATCTAGAGCCTGAGCCAAGGAAGCTTCTTAAGGCGTCGTTCTTGCTTCTGCACCACCTTTGACGCACCTCAAGCTTGGAGACAAATCCTAAAATGATTCAATTGCCGGGGATTTTTAGAAAAAATCATGAGTCCATACAAAAAAGTTCACAAAAAGCTAACTTGCTCACGTCTTACTTACATATCAGACAATCTACATACCGTTGCTTTTTCTCAACTAACTTTGAAAGTTGGATATCTAGCTTTGCACTTCTACAGGTTTGTAGTATACAATTACCTATGTGACAGCACAGACTTCGACAAAGATGAAAATCTTCGTTTTTTTTTATTTCTTAAAAAAATACAGCAAGTACATGTAATTATCTGTTGAGGATATTTGGGTAAACTTGTTGAGTTTCTTTGTAGGAATTTTCAACCTTGCAATTTTCTTTCAATTTTTTCGAACAATCAAATCTCTCCAATTTCAGGTTTTAAACTGGAGGATCAAAGCTGTGCGGAAGCAAAAAAGTTGAATAATTTAGTAGCCTATTTACATAGAAATGATAATTGTCTGACTTACTGTGGTTGGAACTTAGAACGGAAATCATGGGTTTATTAAGACGATTACAAAGAATTTTGGAATATACATGTACAATCGCTTATCTTATCTACAAAATTTCCTTTTATAGTAAGTTCCCAAGTTTATTGCTGTCTGCATGTCCCTCTCAAACCAGGCCATTTTTGACATTTGATAAACAAAACTTATATTGGACTGGTTTGCTGCCGGAAGGACGAACCAATCACTTTGCTAAAAGTTGGACTGCGGCTTTTCATATTTCAAGCTAAATCTTTTTCCTATGAGTCATAAAAATTGTTCAAAGCAAGAAAGTGCTAGCAAGATAAGATTAGACTCTGTAAGATCAAGCAGAGGCAATTTCTTTGAATTGTGTTGCAAGTGAGCTTAAATACCCTTCCAGTCTCATGTTCCAATCAATGATGAGGTAGACGTTTGCTGCTAAGGTGGAAGTTATGAAGCATAGAATTTGTTGAAAGAAAAAGAAAATAATGTAATATTGCAAAAGGAATGTGAAAATACGTATCATCCCCAATCGGTCAGTATGACTTATTTCAGAGTTACGAATTCATCGAGGACGAAATTAGATCCAGTTTTCACCCACAGAATATCTTCTGTTTCTCGGTGGATGCAAAATCTGATGATGATTTCTACTACAAAATCATTGCGCTTTCGATATGTCTTCCCAATGTTTTGCTCTCTCCAGGTGCGTTCAACGTAAAATGAAAAAATCTCAACCTTATTATAAACTCCTTGATAGCTCGAGTAGTACATGTTTATCCATACACTCTATTGTCTTGATAATCAAGACTGCTCTATCTAAGGGCTGGACCGCCACAATTGGTCTCACCTGATTTGCAAAAAAACGCTCATAACTCCTCATAACTCGGCTTTCAGAGGCTAACAGATAATGAAGACAGATATGGAATTAGCGTAGAAGGCTTTTTATAATGATTCGAGCAACTCTTTGCACGAAAGCTCTGATAAACTCAAAGTCAATTACTTTGCAAAAAATCATTTTTTTCTTGTAAAAAGTGGCAATCTAAACGAGAATGGCTTTTTGAAGGGGGATGTACATCGACTACATACATCGCGGCTTTCCCACATTCTCGTTCGCTCGCCCTTTCGAGAGAAAATCTCTTTGCAAAGAATTGTTCTTCACAGAAAGTTTTCCTAACAAAGGATGTTTTGGCCCAGCGTCAAGCCGAGCGTGGTTCTATATAGCCAAATTTTCACTTTCACGCATAATTTCTTAGCAAAATATTGGCCTTTAATGGCTTACAGCTTCGTCCAGAAAAGCGATAAGCAGATAAAGAAGACAGATTTAGAGTCAGCGCTCCATGCTGCATCTTAGGGTATGCAACTTGTCTGGATTAGCCACATCGATATTTGATCATTCCCGTAAGTTAGAACGCTCTTAAGACAGTGTTCTACTCCGCACAACGCTGTACATTCTCTTAACACAAAGCCATCTCGCTCATTTACTTTTCCGGGAGAATTTTTTGCAGAACAAAACAACAACTTCAAATTTAATTTTCAAAATTTCTTTCAAGAAGAATGACAAACAGTTTACAAAAAGCCAACTAGATTCATATTTGAACATGCAGAAGTACATTTCTGTGATTTCTTTATGCAAAAACGAGTTATGCACATTAGAATTGCACATTCCTTTCGACCTTTTTGGTAATTGCTTCTTTGACAACGTCACGTAAACACTGCACCAGAAAATCCATCCGAATCAATCCTTTTTTCTTTGAAGAAGTCTTTTAAGCCCTCATTCAATAATTGAAATTTGTTAAATTTTCTAATAATAGACAGTTAAACTTCCCGTCGCAAGCGATACCAGCGCTTATAAAGATCTTGCTGATAGTCACAGCTTGACAAAACTTCAATCTTCCAAAATACTCCAAGGCCCGTATGCACGTACATCCCCGCAGGGGAGGAGAGGGGATCTGAGAGGGGATGCGTCATATCTCGCTACCCTACGTATCCTTCTTCTTCTTTCTCTATCTTGCTCAAAAGTTTTTCATACACTTATACCTGCGCATAATGGATGCCAGATTTCTTCCATGCAAGCTTGGTTTTTTGCCATTTTGTGTGATCCCCAGCAAAGCCCCTGGGGATCACCTCTCATTTTCAAAGTGATTTGTGTCCCTGAGAATTCAATGAAAAAGCTGCAAAATTGTACTGAGGATATACTACGGCACTACTAAGCATATTTTCGACAGAAGAAATGGAATCTGAAATTTGTGAATTTTTTGATGATCCCTGGCTCGCGAGCTAGGGATTAGGGATTACCGAAGATTTTGATATTGAAATTTCATTTGTTCCTATTATATTAGGTTGTCAAGAAAATAATGTCCGTTTTTATTTGCTTGCTTTAACAAAGCAATCAAACTCAACCCAACAAAGGGTAAGGGGTACTGTTCGATAGAGCAAAGCAAGCTCTACAAGATGGCACTCATGTCTTTGCGCCATGCTCGATCCACGGAGAGTTTGAACTCAAAATCTAACGATTTCCAAATGCCCAAAAAATCGAAAAAAATCAGATCTTCGTCGAAATAATTTCTACGGACCTCCCACTCGCTCACATCAATACTATCGATATCTGATATCCATATGTGCGATTGCCGTATTTTTTCCTTGACTAGAAACTGAGAAAACGAAAATTTCCCTGATTTTCTCAAAGCAATGCTGAGCCGTTTTTGCATATGTAGTTCTATACTACGAGCCTAGGTAAGCATAACTGTAGGTTTTCAGCCTATTTCGAGCGGTACTTTTCGAGAAATGTCGATTTTAGCACTGAAACTAAAACGAAAAAATCCGAATTCGTTATTTTTCGAAAACTACCGCTTGGAATGGGCTGAAAATCTACAGTTATACTTAACTAGGCTCGTAGTATAGAACTACATATGCAAAAACGGCTCAGCATTGCTTTGAGAAAATCAGGGAAATTTTCGTTTTCTCAGTTTCTAGTCAAGGAAAAAATACGGCAATCGCACATATGGATATCAGATATCGATAGTATTGATGTGAGCGAGTGGGAGGTCCGTAGAAATTATTTGGACGAAGATCTGATTTTTTTCGATTTTTTGGGCATTTGGAGATCGTTAGATTTTGAGTTCGAATGCTCCGTGGATCGAGCATGGCGCAAAGACATGAATGCCATCTTGTAGAGCTTGCTTTGCTCTATCGAACAATACCCCTTACCCTTTGTTGGGTTGAGTCTGGTTGCTTTGTTAAAGCAAGCAAATAAAAACGGACATTATTTTCTTGACAACCTAATAATTATCTTTAGCAGCGTCATAGAATATCCACAGTACAATTTTACAGCGTTTCATTCAGTTTTCAGGAAGATAAATGTCATTGAAATTGAGAGATGATTCCCTGGAGATCCCTTAGGGATCCCCAGGGGATCACACAAAATAGTGAAAATCTAATCAATCACGCCATTAACCTGGCATCCATTATGCGCAGGTATGAGGGTATGATGACCTTCATAAGCGAGATGGAGAAGGAAGAAGAAAGATACGTAGAGTAGCGAGATACGCATCCTCTTTCAGATCCTCTCCCCTCCCCAGCGGGGATGTACGTGCATACGGGCTTTGGAGTATTTTGGAAGATTGAAGTTTTGTCAAGCTGTGACTATCAGCAAGATCTTTATAAGCGCTGGTATCGCTTGCGACGGGAAGTTTAACTGTCTATTATTAGAATGTACTACAAATTTCAATTACTGAATGAGGGTTCAAAAGACTTCTTCAAAGAAAAAAGGATTGATTCGGATGGATTTTCTGGTGCAGTGTTTACGTGACGTTGTCAAAGAAGCAATTACCAAAAAGGTCGAAAGGAATGTGCAATTCTAATGTGCATAACTCGTTTTTGCATAAAGAAATCACAGAAATGTACTTCTGCATGTTCAAATATGAATCTAGTTGGCTTCTTGTAAACTGTGCATACGGGCCTAACGAGCTTCTGCCGCCTGCACCTGACTTGAGTACAACTATGAGGTCGTGTACTTGATGACTCGTCTATTTTGTAGTGATTCTGAGTTCTATTTCACAATTCTGAGCTTTTTGGTTTTGTTCTAATCGTCGTCTCTCCAAAAAAGGCTAAATCAAGTCATCCTCTATAATTTTTCCAACATCTGATCGTGCTGATGCCTGAAACAATTCGAAGCTTTAGTTGTCTCAAAACTACAAATGATGATATCAGGCCTAGACGGAGGCTTTGAATTCGCCACAGTCCGCCATTTGCTTGTTTTTTTACCAGTGCGTCACTGCTTCGCAAAGGCTTGCACTGATTCTACCTATCTATACGTTTTTTATCCTCGCGTTATGATGGCATTGAAACTCACAGCGCAGTGCTGAATCAGAATAACTTTGAACAACTAATCATTCTGAAAACTATTTAATTTGAGATCGATGCTTTCCGTGGATGAAACTTTTTGTTTTTCGATCAGACTGTAGTCCAAAGTGCTTGGGTAATTTGTGTCGCTCAGCCATGTTTGCACACCTATTTCCGAGTCGACGGTGTTCCATACCTTCGAAAAAATCAAACTATCCAAGTTTTTACACGAAGCACGCGAAAAGAAGAGTTTGTAAAAACTTGTGTTTTTAAATATTCTTCTCACCTTTCGTCTTTAAGACCCCTAGCGAAGCCAGAGTGCCGTGAAAGGCATAGGTGCGATAAGGTGAGAATGACCCCTCCAGGGTGAAGGGGGTCGCAGCGGCGCAGCTCATTCGAGTGAAGGGTGTTTCACTTGGTAAAGAAATTATAAATTGACCGGGGGGGGGCATGGTGTTCCTCATCATTCTTCCTAGTCGAGGTTTATAAATTCCAATGCCTTGACATCACTGATTGTCTTTTTTCCGGAATGTGAACCGATGTGCCGCTGGATTAGCACACAATTATGTTTCTGCCCAGCACCTTTTTACTTTTTTACATTTTTCTTCTTCTTTTTTTACATCATTTTGCCCGTTTTTGAAATTACCATAAAAGATGTGCATGCGAGAACATTTGTTTCGGAAAGAGTTGGACAATTTTTAAGCATTTGCGAATCTTCTAAAGGAAAAAAATTCGTATTTTCTGTAGATGAACAGCAACGTCAGCAAGAAAATTGTTTTCAAAACCATCTCGTCCTCCGCTTTCAGAGAATGTATAGTTTGCCTGGATTATGATGAAAAAGGTGCTTGGTGAAGGGTGTGGGTAGTGACTTCTGGATATTTAAGAGATAAAAAAGATTTTTTAAGGTAAAAAATGCGTAATTTCTGTAGATAAACAACTTTCACAAAGAAATAGTAACCGTTGGAACCGCCTCGTCCTGCGCTTTCAGAAATTATAAAGCTTGTCTGAAATCCGTCCAAGAGAGTGCCTAGGTGAAGGGTGTGCTTAGTATTTCTAGAGATTTTCGAGTTTTTCAAAATAAAAAATTCATAACTTTTGTAGATGAACATCTTGCACGCCGACATGGTCACCATTGGAACCATCTCGTCCTCGGCTTTCAGAAAATACATACTTTGCCTGGAGTCCGGAGGGCTCAAGTAGACGTCTTTTTACAATGGTAAAAAAACTCCACCTGAGAACTCCCATTATAAGAGTCTCACCCACCCTTCATCAGACACTTTTTCAAAGGACTTCAGGCAAAGTACATATTTTCTAAAAGCGGAGGACGAGACGGTCCAATGGTAAAAATTTCATTGATTTTCTGTTCGTTTTTTTCTGTTCTGTTTTTGCATGTTGCTGTCCTTTTGGAAATACTTTTTGATGGGGTTATAGCCAGCTAGCCTCCGTAGGCTCGCTGGCCTTCAAAAAAAAATGGGAACATAATTTCTGAGAGGCAGCAAGATTCCTTAGTCGACCGTGGATGTACTTTCTTTTTCTCAAAAGATATGATTTGTTGTCGCCTTTATCAAATAAAAAAAACCTTGGCAGAAAACTACCTAAAGTGCTGTTTCAAAAATATCGTGCTCAATCCCCACGATAATGGCAAGTCGTGTGGTATAAAAGTTCCCAGCGACCGCAATGCTTTCCCTTATAGGAACACTGCCGCGCGCGAGACACCCTATGGCGGCTTTTGCCTAAGCAAAAGAGGGGGAGGGAGATTTGCCGCGTGCGTTACGCGTTGGGACTGGTTATCAGTTTCTTTATAGGACCACTGCCGCGCACGCTACACCCTTCGGCGGCTTTTGCCTAAGCAAAAGGGGGGGGGGGGAGATTTGACGCGTGCGTTACGCGTTCGGACAGGTTATGGCGCTGGAGGCCATGCAAAACGACCGTTTCCCCCATTTCGTGAATGTCTGGGATCTAAGCTGGCCGAAAGAGAAGAAATATCCATTCAAACCCTGCAACTAACCATAAATTCACAATAATGCGTTATGACAGCGAGCAAGTATTCATAAGCAGCATGCTTGCAAACCGTTCAAAGTAAGGTTTTGAGCAAATCTGGAACTTCAACACATCTGCTGTACACCCACCGTAACCCAAGAAAATGGCGCCATCCTACGAATTCAAGATGGTATTCATGTTTAGCGCACCAAATGAGCACCCTAGGCAAAGTTTAGAGCAAATCTATGTTTTCGATCCCATACCGTATAACCACCATAACTCTATGAAAAGGTCCCAATATGCAGAGAGAGTATGATATTCGTAATCAGGCATGTCGAATAAGCCCTCTGGACCGAATTCCGCCAAATTCATGATTTTGACTTTTTACCGTACACCCACCTATCGTAGCCACACGGGGAGACGTTTTGCAGAGAAAGTGATATCAGTAATCAGCATGTAAGATAACCCTTATACACGAAGTTTGAGCAAGCTCTACCACAAAAAAAATTTGGGGCCCGGATAGCCGAATAGCGCCAGACTAATATCGAACTCGTAATCAGCATGCTCAATTACCCCCCTGTGCAAACTCTCAGCCTCGTAGCTCCAACTTTGCAAAAAAATCGATAAAATCGATAAAAATAATGGACGATTTTGAAAACCAATATTGTATTCGGAATCCCCATGCTCGATTACCCCCCTGTGCCAACTCCCAGCCCCGTAGGTGAACTCTGCAAAAAATCGATAAAAATCGATAAAATCGATATCGATCGATGACGAAAAGTAGCCTATGACACCCGCCGGGGCCCGAAGTGTATGTGTGCCAAGTTTGGTCAAGATCGGTTCAGAAATGGGATTTTCTATTCGGAACCTACGTACACTCATACATACATACATATTAGGTTGGCACGAAAGTTCTTGCGTAATTCAAACAAAATTCAATAACTTTTCGAAAACTCAACCCAAATTCATAATCTTGTATGCTAAAAATATTAGAAGTCTCACGCTCCATGATGGAAGTTGAATCGCAACATTTTATGAGCTAGCCATCGAGAACGAAGCGCTCAAATATGGAGCTCAAATTTTGCGATTTTGAGTTTGGTGGCAGAAAATCGCAGAGGGCCGCTGGCTAACCGAAAAAAAATCTATAGAATTTACCTGCACAGCAGAAGTCCTTATGTTATTTTAGCAGGCTTTGATTTCGCATGGAAATGCGAAAACAAAAAATTTGTGAAATTTCTCATTTCACAGGACAAATCCTCTCATCGCTCTAATTTTTCCACAGAAACACAGTTTGCAACCAGAAATTGGACATAGTGCCTATTTAGAGTCTTGCAACTTTTTCTCGATTGTAAAAAAGTGTTTTCGCCGGAAAACTGTGGGCATGAAGGGATTTTTTCCGCAAATTGACATATTTCACAAATTTTTTGTTTTGCTTCACCGTGCAAGATCAAAGCCTACTAAAGTAACATATGGACTTTTGTTGTGTAAATAAATTCTGCAGATTTTTTTCGGCTAGCCAGCGGCCCTCTGCGATTTTCTGCCACCAAACCCAAAATCGCAAAATTTGAAGACTCATATTTGAGAGCTTCGTTCTTGATGTCCAACGCAAGGAATCTTATGCTTAAACATCCATCATGAAGCGTAAGGCTTCTAATATTTTTAGCATACAAGATTGCGAATTTGGGTTTAGTCTTTGAAAAGCTATTGAATTTTGTTTGAATTACGCAAGAACTTTCGTGCCAACCTAATACATACATACATACATACATACAGACAGACAGACATACAAACAGACATTCAACTTTATATATAAGAAACTGGACCCTCCGTCACGCTGGGGTTAAGGATAGGAGGGACGCAGAAAACTGCCGTCGCGCTTGGAAGGATCGAATGTATATTATAGTAAGGATTCTAAAACTAGCACTGTAATCGTTATCAGCATGTTCATTTACTCCGTGTGCCCACTCCAAACCCCGTAGTCCAAAATTACAAGGAAAAGAAGCAAAATGATGCAGTTTCAATCAATGACGAAAAGTAGCCTACGACAAGTTTGGTCCAATAAGGGCTTATCTTTTGCACTTCGTGAGCTGGCACCACGAGATGTCATCTTCTGCCAATATTGTATTTGAAAATCAAATGATTTCTTCAGCAAGCATTTAGTGCGCCGTTCTGTCAATCGTCGTGGAAACAACATGAACCAGGCCCACTATGATTGCCTTCAACTCCTCTCTGAGCACAAAAGCTGGGGATACGTTTTATTGCTTCAGGTTCTCTTTTACCTAATGGCTTATTGAAAAAGTTACCACTCAATGCTTCTTCAGAAAGTAGAGGTTTTTGTTTTACACTGATAGCATTTAATCTAGAATTACGACATGATGATCAAGACAGTTTATGAAACTGTGTCGATACTAAAGGAGTTTGGTGGAGCTAACGACATTTGCGTACGGCCATGCGAACGGAAAAGATGGAACCATTCAGCAAAATGGGATGTGCGCTCATTGAAGTTGTTTCGCAATGGTACAAAGATCACAGTTATTCTCATGTACAATGATTTCTGCAGAATCCCAGGCAACTAAGGCTCAGCTAACAACCAATCTGACCATGGTTCGAGGGTTTGTACAGTGCTCACTAAGCAGAGCGGCTGTTGATTGGGCTGTTAAGATCGTTGACTTAACGCCACTTATAAATCAGCTCAACATAAATGTAAGCATTCCTATATATTCAAAAATCGTCCGTGCTGTAATTACAGAACCAGCGCGTCACTTCGTTCGCAAAGGTTCGCACTGGTTCTTCTGTCTATCTTAGTCATTCTCGTACAGTGATGGCTTTCAAGCTTTCGCGCAAAGCTGACCATCAAGAATGAATTCTAAGGAAGGCGCTATACTTCTCGAGGAGTATAGCACACCTTTAATCAATATGCATCAAATAAGTGCAAAATCGGCAATTGTCATTGTTATCGGCGGTCGCTAGTTGCTACGACTGTCGATATTGGAGACGACGGGCGATCGCCGTCGTCAGTGCTACTGTGATCAAAATATAGTAGGCTTTGGTTGCCAAAAGAAGAAGACCAATCACGAAAAAGTGGTCTTCCTGGGGTGAAATCCCATAATATGTAAGCTTTGCATAAGCAAGTTCACGACTTTGAGAATGTCTCAGAACGCAACAAGTTTTGCAGCTTGGAAAATGATTGGAAGCTTCAAAGGAATCAGAAAATCCTTGTTTGAATCTGAAATTGAGCTCCTTCCCAAAAAAACGATAAAATCGATAAAAGTAATTGATCATTTCAAAATCCAATATTTTATTCGTAATCAGCATGCTCAGTCAACCCCTGTGCCAGCTTCCAGCCTCTAGCTCAGTTTTCAAAAACCGATAAAATTGATATCGACCGATGACAAAAAGTAGCTTACGTGCCCGCCCCGCCCCGAAGTATATGTGTGCCAACCAGGGTCAAGCGTGTTGATGCGATCCGGGACCCCCATTTACGACCCCTCCCCCCTTGAAGGTACCCATCCGTACGACCCCCCCCCCCTCCATCTACGCCCTTACTCCCCTGCCCACATTCCTCGCGGTAACCTGCATAAACGAATGTCAATCTCAAAAAACACCCGCGTGAGAACTTCAGTGAGGTTTCGGAAGCAGAATTTCTAGGCCACTGGGGCATCTGTAGCACATATACACACCTTCAATAATGTTTGAGATTCTGCAAGTTTTTTTTGAATTTTCAGGCATACTTCAGGCCAGCAAATTCAGTTCCCGTATGCGACACAAATTTTTGCATGGAGGAAAAAATGACATTCTTGAACTAAAAAAGATGCTTTCGACTAAGAAGCTTATTTCCTACCTCTTCCACAGTTTTTCCTGCGAAAAAAAAAACAGCTTCAGCGTCGTCCAGAACGACGTCAAAAACGTGCATGAGCACGGTAGTTTGAAAATTCGTAACTAGGGCCAGGAAAAGACTGAGAGGCTGCAATGAACAGGTTCTGTAGCATAGTGCCCAGACTATCTATAGAAAAAGTTTAAGCCCTTGAGGAGCAGTGAGCTCGAAAAATTCTAGATGCGACTCTCGAAAATTTAGATGCGATCCTAAAAAGCAAAAACTGGGATTTTTGAGCTTAAAATTTTGTAACTTACCAGAGAAGTTGTAAAACAGCCTGCAATTTTTATGAGGGAAAGTAGGAGGATGGCCTCGTATTACAGCAAAATTGCAGCCAACAAGCTTCAATAGCTCCGGAAAAATTTAGATGCGACCCAGATACGACCCCTCTTTTGTCATTTTTTGCCATCATACATAAAATCATAAAAAAAATCCGAAGACTATAAAGTAGGACCAAATTCTGCATAAATGTAGTAGAGCACCTTTTAAGTACACATAAATTGTAAAGACCGTATGAAAAGTTACAAACAGATTTACAAATTATTGATGATTAGCGTTGATAGAGATATGCGCTTTTGTCGAGTGTGCGAGTCTTATGTGAGCCTTCGGAAGCAGGATGTCTACACCAATCGGTACATCTAACATCTTTATCACACATACATGCCTTTAGTAGCATTTGAGCTTGTGAAAGTGTTCATTTTTTTAATTTTAATCATGCCACCCTGGTTCGATCCCCGTTTGCGACAATATTTTGCGGGAGAAATAGTGATTTCCATCAAAAAAAAAAGAGAACTAGGTTCTAATCTTTCAAAAGTGCAGCAAGTGAAGTGAATTTCTACGTTTGCAAATGTTTTCAAATTATTGTTCACGTTTTTATTTGATACTTTGGTACACGGCGTTCCTTTAATTTATTGTTACGAACACGTAATAATTATCTGCCATTCGATTTCTTTTCGTGCTTACGGTTTTTTATCCAAAGTACCTCTTTTTACGACCCCCTCCCCCAACATAGGTACCCCGCTTACGACCCCCCCCCCCCCGTTGCGACAGTCGCATCACACGCTTGACCCTGGTGCCAACCTTGATCCGGATCTTTTCAGACATGAAGTTTTCTATCCGAATATACTCATACATGTACGCACAGACATACAAACATGCATACAAACGGACAATCTTTCAGCTTCACATTAGGGGTTGGTGCAAAAGTTTTGTCAGTTTTCGGAATCCATTGACATTTACGATAGAATGAAGACAAACAAACATTTCAAACTGTATTCAAAGTTCCTCTTTTTTCCAGCTGCTACACTCTTAATGTGATTCATTGAAAGAGCGCTGAGATGATCGCTGGAGTTTACAACCTTCCATTTTTACAACGTACGACTTTTGCAGTTTTTCAAAATTTTATTTGAGACTATTAGGGAAGCTTTCATAGCCAAAGTAGAGCAAATCTTTTGCCAACTTTAGCAACTTTTCTTCTTTTTCGGCTATTCTTCTAGAATTTTGTTCAATAATTTTTCAATAGTCTTGATGTTTGAATGCTCGCAAAACTCGTTATTGCACCTAACACTTGGTAATCTTCAGAATACTGGGGCTCACACTCGATTATCACTAGTACGGCCTTATAAACTAAATGAGCGAATTTCTGTTCAAAACAAGTACATTTTGAAAGTTGGGATATGTCAATGCGAACTGTGAAATTGAAAAAGATTGCTATTTTCCCCCGCAAATTGCGTGCTCTGCCAAGAAAAGGCAACTGTCAGAAAGAGGAAAAAATGTTGTATCGAATGTATCCGAATTCTTCACCATTTCATGTTCTCGAGGTCTGACTATAAAATTTAAGAATATATAATGGTTTAGAAATTTTGAAAGATACGCCACAAAGCTACAAAAATTGTTTTGCTCTATCTGCTAACTCTCGAGCTTCCCAAAAGCTTCAAAATGGGTTGTAGTTTCCAGCGATAATCTCAGCATTCTCTTAACGAATCTTACCGAGAATAGAGCATTTGGAAAGAAGAAGAAATTTTGCTTTGGATACAGCTTGAGATGTTTGTTTATTCCTACTGTACGGGCAGGGCTCGGCACGAGCTGGCACCAGGAAATTTTCAAAACGAAGTCCCCCTTGAAATTTGCTAATTTTTACGAAGTCCCCTTTGAACCCAGACCAAAATCCCTGAAAATCCTCCAAAAACGAAACGTCGACTAAAAAAAACGTCGCAATTTGTCGACAAAAACGATATCCCCCTTGCTTTTTGACCCAAAAACGATATCCAGCTTGCCCCGTGCCAGCTGGTGCCAGCCCCTGTGTACGGGACTTCCGTCATTTCAAAAAACTGACAAAACTTTTGTTCCGACTCAATAAATAAGATTTCTTTCGAGATTTTCGAATTCCGAATTTAGATGGTATTTAATAACATGATATTTTCAATCTTTGAATAAGTTCGATATTCGTTTACTCAAAAGTTTTGATTCTCAAATTTAATTGACCCTTTTTTATTTGAAACCCTTCGGCATCCCCTCATTCGGGTAAACTGTGCGACCGCGTTTTTTTTTGTCGCGCGAAAAAACATAAGTGGCTTTTTGAGTGCCCACAACCAACTTATACAGTTTTGCTAATTCCCTTTTTATTATCTGTGTAACTTGGGACCGAAAATACCCAGATAGAGAGAATTACTGAAGAGTTGTTTTCAGCTGTTTCTGATTTCAATTACATTTTCGTTCACTGCAATGCGCGCGAACAAATGAAAATCAAAATGAACCGGAGGGAGAAGATACATAGAACCAAGAGGTAAAAGAAACATAGGCCAGGCACTAGAAAGGAGGAACTCGGGATAAGCATCTATATAGCCATAAACTCACTTTCCCGTTTTCGCACAAAGCGCGATTTAGTATTGTTCTCAAGATAAAAGTAAAATTCGGCCTTGCCCCCAAGTTCTCATAAATGCGACATGAATCCCAAATATCCAGCGGCGGCCCGTCTCTGCAACGCACAAAATATCAAACTTGCACTTTTTCTTACGAAGAGAGCTTTAAGATCTTTGAAAAATTCTTCTGTTTTGAACTTGGATTCAAAAGTTTTTTACTGGTCAAGGAATATGACAGTGACAGTGAAAATATCCTGAAAGTTGCTGCGGGCTAAAAGGGTGGATTAGAAAATATGACACGGAAACTACGTACACTTGTATGTTGACCCGCCGATTTTTGATGTAGAAGCAACACGATGTTTTTTTCATTATTTCTTTTAACTTCTGTTGAGACATGGAATCTTGAGTCATCTTGATTCTAATTCGTTAGGCAAGAACAGGTCAGTTCAGCCCCTCCTCGAGAATTTTTTGCAACCGTCTTGGATAAAATTTTCCTTGTTTAGTTAAAATCATCTTATATATAAAGCTGAATGTTTGTTTGTATGTCTGTATGTCTGTATGTCTGTCAGTCTATGTGTACGTATGTTCCGAATCTTATATATAAAGCTGAATGTCTGTTTGTATGTCTGTATGTCTGTCTGTCTGTCTGTCTGTGTGTACGTATGTTCCGAATAGAAAATTCCATTTCTGAACCGATCCGGACCAAACTTGGCACACATACACTTCGGGCCCCGGCGCGTGTCATAGGCTACTTTTCGTCATCGATCGATATCGATTTTATCGATTTTTATCAATTTTTTTTGCTGAGTTCACCTAGTTGGCACAGGGGGGTAAGGGTAATCGAGCATGGGGATTCCGAATACAATATTGGTTTTCATGATTATCGATTACTTTTATCGATTTTATCGATTTTTTTGCAAAGTTTGAGCTACGGGGCTGGGAGTTGGCACAGGGGGGTAATCGAGCAT